AATAAAAAATATAAAAGAATAAAAATATATTATTACCTAACGGAAAAAAGCCTTATTGTACCTTTAATTGATATAATTATTCTTTTAATATAAACCTTCGGTATACATTCATAAATATACAAGGATTACCATATAAAAGAGAAAAATAATAACAGATGACAAATAATAATTCCAATAAGTATATATATAACCATCAAATAATTTCTATATCTTCATTCAGTTAATAGAAAATAAAAATAATATCTCACCAAATATCAAATTGAGTGAAATTAATAATATTGAATATATCTATTTTCCACCTATATTAAAAAATTCATATACTGTGTTATAAAGTATATAAATATAATTGCTCACACAATTATCACTAAATCATTCACACTAGTAATTTAATAATGTAAAATATTTTTTAACACTTAAATTCATTACATAAATAAAATTAACAGAATACCAATTACAATAAAAATATTTGTAAATATAAAAATACAAAAAACAAAATAAAATATATATAAAACAATAAAATTCAAACGTGAACATGAAGAAGCAAGCATTAATTCTGAAACACAAAACCTATAACATAAATCATAAAAATAAAACATACAACCTAAACTATAAGTAACGATAACTAAATCCTTAAGACAAAAAGCATACAATATGAAACCCTAACGCTAAAACATAAATAAAAAACAAAACATTAGATCCAAAACGTCGTATCCTGAATCCTTAACAATAAAACATAAATCCTTAAAAAAAAACACACAACAAAAGAATGAACCATTAACACCATATCCAAGACGCTAAACCCTAAAAACATGAACCATAAAAACATAAATAATAATAGCATAAACCCTGAAACATAAACACTAAAACCAAAACCGTAAACCCTAAAACCTAAACCTGCATACACATTTTTTTTGTAGTTTATTAGGTGTCTAACTCATTACTATCTATTATTTTACTATAATTACACTAAAGTAAGTTTTTCTTTTAACATAAGTATATTATGATTTGCTTCGACAAATATACATTATGTTATACATTTTTTCTTCTAAATCCATGGAATTATTATCATATTCAGTAAAATGATCCTCATATGATTCTTCATTTGTTTTCTTTAAGGTCTTTCCCATTCTTATAATAATGAGGTATAAATAGTGTCTGAACGGTGTAAACTAACATTTTAAAAATCTTTTAATGACTTTTTTTATATAGATTTATTAATGTAATTTTATGTTTAATCAAATGTAATAATATTAGTACAGCATTATAATTTTTTAACAGTATTTTTATTAACCTTATAGAAACCCAAGAAGATTACTCCTACAATAATAATGATAAATACTGTTCTTATTATAGTTTTTATGCTAGTATTAGTAGAAGAGGGAGGAAGTAAAAAATCAGCTTCGAAAAGTCTAGAATATCGTTGTACGTAACCAATTTCTTTTAACGATTTGCATGTTATATCATAATCATTAGAATAATTATCATTAGATAATCTTGATAGCTCTTCCTTGCAATTATCATTGGATTTCCAGTCAATATTTTCAATTAAGCACCTAATCTTATTTAACTCTTTAACCAAAGAGGTGTCATCTTTTATATTATTAATATGTATTAATTTATTATATACTTTAATTAATTCATTAAAGTAATCACATAATGTTTTTTTTATCAAGACTTAATTTAATAGAATAAATAAGATCATTGTACTCTTCATATAACTTATATAATTTACTAACTTTATCAAATAAATCTTTATTCATATAATTGATATCCTTTATACATCTGTTATATTTATCGTCATTATTATTATAGTGAACATATTCTATGAAATATCGAAATATGTACCATTTTGATTTAAAATCTATGTCTATAAATTCTCTAATTTTTTTGTTTATCCAATAGTTAATAAAATTACAGCATTCCGAGTTATTACATGAATCTTCTTTTTTAAAATACTCAAAATATTTTTTTATCCTCTTACAACTATGAATAAATCTATCCCGTATAGTGCTTTCAATAGTTCTATATTCGGGATTTAAAAATATATTAATATCATCTGTATTTACTTCAGTTCCAACTGTTGTATCGAAAATTTCTTTAAAAAATATGTAATCTTCTATTGCGTAATACTGATAAAAATATATAAATTACAAAATATGCATAGGTAAACTTAAATGTTAAATAAGTAATATTATTGATAAATTTCTAAAATAATCCATTCAAAAAAATAAGCTATTATTTAGGATTGTATATGCATATAAAAATTCGTTTCACTACTTACATCTGTTGACATTATATACATTAAAAAAAAAAATTAGTTTAATATTAATATAATTTTATTTGTAATTATTGAACAACAGATAAAATTAAATATTTTTTGTATCGTAAATTAGTATTACAAATTTTAAATTTTAACCACATACTTTATTAAAAAAACATTTTTATTAATATATATTTCTGTAATATAATTTTCTCTTAGCAATGTATAAAAAAAGAAATATTATGTATGTTTATATTATTATGAAATATTTTATATACATTAAACTAATATATGAAAAACATACAAATATGAAATTATTAATAATATAAAAAGATGATATCTTTTATAATGTTTTACTCAGGGAAATAAATTATTCTTTATGCTTAATGCCTATCGATGAGTAATATATATTATGATAAGTATGAATGGTTCATTGAATAAGAATTACACAAACATAAATATGATGTATTTTATAATATAATTTGTATACTATTATGATTTATGTATATATATATATATACATTATAGGCTCGTATTTTAAAATTAAAAGAATTAATACTATTTTGCGTCAACTGCGTTCTGTAATAAATTTATTTATCTTAAAATATATCTTTATATTATAAAAAAATATATTTATGTAAAACTAAAAATACAATATAAATTATGTTCTTCTCCTATGAATTTTATATTTACAAGAAAAAATTATTATTATATAACATTAAATAAAGACTTATATTAGCATATTATGTAATATATTATATACATTAAAATAAATGATTATACGTTATGCCCAATTACATATTTTGTTAAAAATGATATATTATATATATGAATATAATAATTAAAAAAGTGAGAAAACTGTATAATTTAATCATATATAAAATTAAAGGAAAATAAATAATGCATTGCTT